TCTTTCACAGCCATCACCCCCGCTTGACTCTCCCAGGATGGTCATGGGCGGGCATTGCCCGCACCGACTAGCCCAGAAAGATGAGTCCCAGAGAGGCTGAGTTGCTACGGGCACGCTGTCTTCTGCCCTATCCCATCCTCTCCTTAGCTTGGCTTTGTGGAAGGGAGGGGCTGCCGGGCAGCGGGGAAGGCTGGGCTGAAGCCCCTGGCGGCCAGCCCGTGCTGCTGGGGCCCTGCTGAGGGGAAGGGAGAGCATTTTGCCCGAAAGGGGTCAGCAGCTCTCTAAAAGAGCAGGAGGACACTGGAGAGTGCTTTGTTCCCTTCAGCGGGTCCAGGAGCCGGTGCAGCCATCCCAGGGGTAGTGAGGTCCTCAGGGAGGCGCCCAGTGGGAGCAGCAGGCTCAGGCGGACGCAGACCGGAGCCCTGCTGTGAATTTGCTGCCTTCTTCCCAGCCAGGGCCATAGCGCTCAGGAGAAGTGCAGCGGCCGCCACGCGGAGGCTCCAGGCTTTGATAGGAGTGGTGGCAGTTGCATGACCCCTATTAAACTCCGTGAGGCAAAGGATAGTCTGTTTTGGAAGTCACCTCCAGGCTGCTCCAGCCTGCTCTCCCCTTGTAAATTCCACAAACATCCAGGAGATAAAAGAGGGGGATCTCTCAGAGGCAGAACATGAAGCTCTTCAAAGAACACTTTCAATCGAAAATGGGGAGGAGAGAGGTCTTTCTCTCAGAGGGAATGTGTTTATGTGCCCCTGTGCATGCATGCGCATGCCCTCACACACACGCACCCCAAGACTAGGAACACCATAATGCATACAGAACTTTCTGCCAGTTCTCTTTTATCAGCCCCCCTTCTCTTCCTCTGGCTCGGGGGGATCCCCACCTTTTCTGGTTTCCCATTCTGTGGAGTTACACTCCCAGACCTGCTATCCAGATGGTGGTGTACCTTCCTGACCTTTCTAGATTTCTTTCCCTAAAATGTCCCCACCTGGGGTCCCTCTCAGCTGCTGTTCTTTGCTGACTAGTCTGAGAGTGTCTTCCTCAGAGCTCATTCTCGTCTGCTCCAGAGCATTTGATTCCGCGGACCACCATCATCTTCTTGAGCAAAATAGGGGCCAGCGAAAGTAAGCTCTACCTGTTTGAGCCAAGCGAAATGAAAGTGCGGGGTTTGGGAGCTGGAGAAGAGAATTTAGAGGGCATTTAGTTACGCCCTTTCATTTTACAGGGGATGCAACTTCAGCCCAGAAAATGGAATAACTCGCTGATGGTCACAGTGAGTTTGTGGCTTGGCTGCAACCAGAGCCCAGTCTTCTGATGTCCTGTCTACTGCTCTTTCTGCCAGAGAGCAGCCCTCCTGTCCTGAGCGGCCAAAGACGCGGAAGGGCTGCGTCGGACTGGAAGCCTGCCCACCCCTCCTACCTTCCCCTACACTGACAGTGGCTAACATTCTACACTCCCAGCCCCCTTTGCTTGTCAGTTTGGTTTCATGGCATATAATCTCCTCATCTAAGACTGCTTTGTAGCATAATGTCTTTTTAACTAAGGTGAAGTAAAATGAATGCACGTCTTTTGGAATAACCCGATCCCAAGAGGTTGTTGCTGATAACTTTGGGGTGCATTGAAGCCAAGGTAGATAATTACTGTTCTGTACTGAGTTGATTAAATAGGAAAAACAAAAAACAAAAACACCACCACAAAATCTCCATGGTGTCTTTTAGCTTGCCACTGCTTTTCTCCATCCTACCCCTCCTTCCCTGCCTCCCCTGCCCCCAGCTTATTCCTGACGGGGTGGGGGGTGCAAAGGGAAGAGGAAGTCAGCAGTGTCCACAGGAGGCGGTTATTCTGTTTTTGGCTCAGTTTGGGAAGTGTCTCTCTCTGTGAGTAGACAGACATGCCCTGTCCGAGCATGGGGCACACACTCTCCCTGGGTATTGCGGTCATTCTGCGTGCACCCGGGAAAGGGCCGTCCTGGGACACTGTCCATCTCCAGCATTCTCTCCACATGGAATGGTTTTACCATAACGCCATCGTTGGCCAACTTTTATAAACTTGTGAACGGATTCCCAAATTCCAATCCAAAGTTTGCCCTTTTGCGGGGAAAGCTATGGGTGAGGTAAAGAACCTTGGGGGCAAGAGTTGTTGAGTTCAGTTAATTTGGGAGGGTGGGATATGTGTTTTTAAATAACCAGAGAAAGGAGGGAGTTGTGTTTACCTTTGCCCATTTCATCTATTTTGGCTTTCGTCCTCTTTTCTTCAATTCCTTCAATCTAACCCAGTTGACTCCTGTCTCGTCCTCCCAAGGTTCATGCAGGGCTTGGCTGCCGATTGGCTGGAAACCTGCACACATGGGACCGGCACTGCGCCTGTTGGGTCTTTGTGCTGGGTTGATTTCTCTTGCTCTACACCTGTGCTCTCGAGCGAGCAGAACTGCAGTCAGTGCTACTGTCACGGAGGGGCTGAGGTTCTGAGGGGACCGGCACTGCGCCTGTTGGGTGAACAAATCAAAAGGACAAACATAGATCTAATCGGACTTCATTTTTTATTTATTTTTTTCTTTAAAATGTTTTTATTGTTATGTTAATCACCATACATTACATCATTAGTTTTTGATGTAGTGTTCCATGATTCATTGTTTGTGCATAACACCCAGTGCTCCATGCAGAACGTACCCTCTTTAATACCCATCACCAGGCTAACCCATCCCCCACCCCCTCCCCTCTAGAACCCTCAGTTTGTTTTTCAGAGTCCATCGTCTCTCATGGTTCGTCTCCCCCTCCAATTTACCCCCCTTCATTCTTCCCCTCCTCCTATCTTCTTCTTTTTTTTTTTTCTTAACATATATTGCATTATTTGTTTCAGAAGTACAGAGCTGTGATTCAACAGTCTTGCACAATTCACAGTGCTCACCATAGCACATACCCTCCCCGATGTCTATCACCCAGCCACCCCATCCCTCCCACCCCCCACCACTCCAGCAACCCTCAGTTTGTTTCCTGAGATTAAGAATTCCTCATATGAGTGAGGTCATATGATACATGTCTTTCTCTGATTGACTTACTTTACTCAGCATAACACCCTCCATTTCCATCCACATTGTTGCAAATGGCAAGATCTCATTCCTTTGGATGGCTGCATAATATTCCATTGTGTATATATACCACTTCTTCTTTATCCATTCATCTGTCGATGGACATCTTGGCTCTTTCCATGGTCAAACTTCATTTTTTAATCTCAAGTGTTGATTCACTTGATAGCAGCAATCAGCGCTCTCTTGGAGAAATAGAGAAAGAGCACAATGAGGCATTCACATTTTTCATTTTTTATTAAAAAGCTCTTACATCTGCACCCTCATTTCTTTTCTTTGAGCCTGGCCTCCCTTTATAAGGCCCTAGGTTCGTTAACCTATGCCGGCTCACATGGCTGCTCCAGCAGACAGACAGAACGCGATCGGGAGCAGAGGCTCAAGGTTGAGATGCAGGAGAGACTGACCTTTGCCAATTAGATTTATTCCTCTTGTACACACATCACAAATTCCCTTGTGTGCAGAATGAGGGCCAGTGTGTCTATCTGTCTATTTTCTTTGCAGTGATTTAGGTAGACTCCTATACGTGTGTGTGTGTGTGTGCTCATTCAGAACTGCCTGGCCTATTTGCAAACTGTTGGATGCTTCACTTTTCTTCCTTTCTAGAACTCTTCCTCTCTTCCATCAGCTGCTCCACCAGAATCAGAAGAAGGAGTTAAGCTGGAATGGAAACCAGTGGAGGCCAGTCTGAGATACGCGACTAGGTTATAAAACATGGTTCTTCAATATTAGTGGAAGTCAGAGTCAGCTGGGCAGCTTGTTACCAATATAGATGCCCATGTCCTGCCCACAGTCTGATCCAGGGGGTCTGGGATGTGATTCAGGAATTTGCATTTTAATCAGCCCCCCAGGTGATTCTGATGCAGGTGGTCAGAGACGGGATGTTGAGAATCCCTGTTAGAGAATTGCTGGGCAGGGTCCTAGCACTGTCTTCACCTCACATCCTTGGTTTAAGGACAAGGTCAAGGACATCTAGGGATGTGAAGTGACTGGCCTAGGTTAGAGGGTTGGTGAGGGACCAGAACAACACGCCGGTTCTGGGCTTTTCCCCTTTGCACCATGCACAGGGGAGCAGACCAATAGGAAGTGAGTTTGCTTTGCCAGGGGAGGGGTTTAAATTAGGGACAAGGAAGAACTGTCTGGCAAAGAGGAGCACTGAGGAATTCAATAGCATCTCCTTCCCAGAAGGCTTTAATTCAGACTCTCATCAGATGTGGGCATCTGCGGTGCCATGAGGGGACCAAAAGCAGGGAAGGCAATGTCTTCAGAACAAACTCTGGTGACTTTTGCATGGAGGGCCAGAGACCCCTCTTTTACTTCTTTGGCACCTGAATTGTAACCTTGGCAGCAGCTTTAGGTGTCCCGGGGTCCGGGAGGCCCGAGGTCCAGTCCCGGCTCTGACGAGGACAAGCTCTGCACCGTGGGGCCACCTGCTCAGTTCCTTGGTGGTGTTAGCTTGTTTCTCACTTCTGTGGCGGCATCCATTTTCTCTTCCACTCTAACTCCCTGCCACCGAGGCTTCTCTTCTGCCTCGCACCTCCATCAAGTTCTGCAGACTGAGCAAATTAAGAAGTTGAATTTAAAAGCTACTTACTGTTGAGAATCCAGCAGCCTGTGTGCCGGTTTTCCCTCCCCTCGGGCATTCTGAGACTGTCTCTGGACAGTCCTCTGTTGTTTATACTTACTGATGTATTTAGAGGCGTCTGGCCGCAAAAGCGCCTGAGTTCCAGCTTCAGCACCCATGTCCTTTTGTGAATGATTATTTGGGTCAGAGATGGATCGGGACTACCCAGAGTCACTCCCCACACAGAGAAGCCGGACCAGAGTGACATCTTCCCAGTAGTGATGACCTCTGGCCACAAGTCCCTGTCCCGCATCTCACCTGGCCACCCCACTGATGGGCTCTCTCTGTCCCTTCCAGAAAGCGGACCTGGCCGTGGCGGGCCTCACCATTACTGCGGAGCGGGAGAAGGTGATAGATTTCTCCAAGCCGTTCATGACTCTGGGAATTAGCATTCTTTACCGAGTTCATATGGTAAGAGACTTATTTTATAAGCATTTATGTCATTAAAGCTATTTGCATGCAAACACTGAGTTATATGGTAATAATGAATGACTCACGGAAATATTTAGATTTCAAGACTTAAATGCAAATGAGCTGGGCTATTTTTCCCCCATCAGCTGCGCGGACTTACAAACAGGAAGAATGGAAAAGTCACACTTGTGGGCTTTCCAGTAAAAATTGCTTCTGCCTCACTGACTAGGGATGGCCAAGAGTGATCTCTTCACCCTGGGTGCGTACGGTGTCAGGGAGTGGCCCTGTTGGTCACTCTCTTTCCTTCGAGGGACAAGGTCCCCAGTCCAGATGAGTCACCCCAGCATTTTCAAGGGCTTTGCTGATTCCCAGGTGTACCTCTGTTCACGCCGAGCATTGTGTCTGGTGGAGGAATGCAGAGTCCTTCCTCTCTGGGTTTGTCATACTGGTGAATAAATAATGTCACTTATATCTGACCTGTCCCCTTTTCTGCATCCTTCAAAAAAGGAGAGAGAGAGAGAAAGACTTCTCCGGTTAGGTTGCCTAGAGTGAGTGTCTAAAGGAGTTTGTGAAGGCACACCAATGGGCGTGAGGACAGGCCCTGACAGAACAATGGCTGGTGGGGAATGCAGGGAGCATCAGGAGAGTAATGCTGGCTGAGCCTCATCCACAAGGAGGGTAATAGTTATGTTGTCAGCACATAGTTGACTGAACCAGAAGAACCTTCTTCTCATCCTTTTATCCAAACTGGCTCTAAGTGCACGGCTATCATAGGGATTTCCCCAATACTCAAGTCATTCTCGGTGTCCAAGGTCATGCTAACATAGTAAATTCCAGGGTGGTACCTGGCACCACAAGGCTGCCCAACAGGGAAGGAATCAAGCGCTCATCCCACGTGCCTGCTGAAGAAGTGACCCCTTCCCAGTCCCCAAATCCCAGATCTGGGGAAAGGGGATTGTCTGTATTTGCTATCCCAGCCTTGGCTCACATAGCAGGAGCTGCTAGGGCGTCAAGAACTGCAGCCCATTTCTGTAAGGGGGCAGGTCCCCTTGTCACAGAGCCCATTCGAGCAGCTCAGAGGAGCGCTGTCCTGTGCTGGACCTCAGCATCCATCATGATCCCTGCCTGGCTTAGAAAAGGAGGCCATATCATCTAGAAGAAGAGACAACATTGAAATCCCAAGCCCCCCAGGCTAAGACAGAAAGCAATCTCATGACTTGGTCATTGTAGACACTGTCACTGATGTGTCTCTCTTGTGAATTAAGGGCGATAGTCTTTTTCACAATGATGAGAGCCTCCATTCATTGAGCACTTCCTACGTGCCAGACACTCTTTCGGGCACCTGTGAGGATGTGGACTATTGTTATGGGTTGAATTGTGTCCCCTCAAAAGACATGTTGAAGTCCTAAGCCCCAGCACCTGTGAATGTGACCTAATTTGGAAATAGGGTCTTTACAGGTATAATCAAGTTAAGATGAGGTCATACTGGATTCGGGCGGGTCCTAATCCAAGGAGGGGTGTCTTTATAAAAAGAGGGAAATGTGAAAAAGGGGGAGAAGACCATGTGAATTTGGAGACAGAGTAGAATGATGTCTCTACAAGCCAAGAAACGCCAAGGATTGCCAGCAACCACCAGAAGCTAGACACCAGAAATTACAAGGAGGGATCTTCCCCAAAGCCTTCAGGGGGAGCAGGGCCCTGCTGATGCCTCAGTGTTGAACTCCTTGCTTCCAAACTATGGGACGATACATTTCTGTTGTTTTAAGCCACCCAGTTAGTGGTACTTTGTTATAGCAGCCCCAGGACACCGGTACACTTTTGTTGTTCTTATAAGTAGGTGAAAGAGCAGAGTTCAAACCCAGGAATGCTGTGCCTCGAGCATGTGTTCTCTCTGGGACACCAGGCGTCCCCCCCCGCATTTGTGTGATCTTTGAGTAACTTGTCCTGGAAAGCATTCTGTGTACCTTTTCTCATCTGGTCCTTAGGACTGCTCTTTGAGAAGGGGAAAGGTAGTAGAATTCCAACTTGACAGTAAGGAAACTAAAGTCACACTTGGAACCGACACAGGGCTGGGCCTGGAAGCCAGGTGTCCTAAGTCTCTGGAATAGTGTTCTTGTCATCCCTACACCTGTCCATAGTCCCTAGGTGATTTTCCAGCTAGCACCATGTGTTGAGCCCACCTCACCCCATTCCTGCCACTGAGCCTCGAGGCAGCATCCCAAAGAAGTGGGGACATAGGACCTTTCTCCAAACCATATTGCTATGGCCAGGCTGTACGCCTTGATTTCTTGATTAATGCCAAGGATACTAGAGCCCGATGGACCATGAGGATCCATGTGGGTGAAGGCACCTGTTCCCTAGTGTTTCTCCTCAGTGCCCGGGAACATCCACCGCTAGGCTACCCTCACCAATGGGGACACCACTGTCCAGAATATCAACCCCAGCCAGAACCAAACTCCCATTCGCCAGTCCTCTGGACATCCTTAATTGGATTGTTGGCCACAGGTTACCTACCACCAAAAACCTATGACTGTATTAGTTCTTGGGATGTGAAGTTTTATGTGTCAGCTTGCCTAAGCTATGGTGCCCAGAGGTTTGATCAATCACTAGCCTAGATATTCTATGAGAGTATCCTGTAGATGTGATTAACAGCTACGATCAGTTGACTTCAAATAAATGAGGTTACTCTTGATAACGTTGGTGGGCCTCATCCAATCAGTTGAAGGCCTTAAGCGCAAAAACAGGTTTCCTGAAGCAGAAGGAATTCTGCCTCAAGACTATCACTTAGAAATCCTGCCTGAGTTTCCAGCAGGCTCTATAGATTTTGGCCTTAACTGCTCCCACAATGGTGTGAGCCAATTCCTTAAAGTAAATCTGTTTATATACACACACACATACACACATATATGTCCTACTGGTTCTGTCTCTCAGGAGAACCCTAAGTGATACGGTTCCCCTTTCTGGTCAGGATTCCTCCCCTCTTCCAGCCTCCATACTGAGGCACTGGTATGCCACATGGCTGCTCCGATCTGATTTATAACAGGGGGCCAAGCTGAGTAAAAACTGAGTGCTGGCATGAACAGCTTACACTAAGCATTACTGACAGTTTATGCATTTATGCAATAAATATTTATTGAGTGCATTCTGTGTGTGAGGCAGTGTGCTTAGAAAGTACCAAAAAGTCAGCTGGAGAAACAATCCTGAATCAATGAAACTGGGGGAGCCCTGGAGAGAACAGGTCTGAGGTGAACTTTGCTATATCTAAAACATCTGTGCCCTGAGTTGGCAGAAACAGCTAATGCCACGGGAACAGCCCAGTGCAGTTCACCACGAAAGCCTCAATCTGAAATTACGTAGGGAAGTTCTCTCTCATATAGCACTGTTACGTTAACAAGATTAAAGTTGACTACTGGCTGTTTATTATTTTGTGAATTTTTCTCAGGTTGATAGTGATTATTTTGTGAATTTCTCTCAAGTTGATAGTTTCTCAAGATGATGAATTTCATTTTATAATCTATAATGACCTAGAATTTCTATCTTAATTCTATATCTGACGTCACCTGAGTCGTGAGTGATTATTACCAAAATGTGAGCATCTGGTGATGATGAAACCTGTGTGCAAAGGTTAAAATAACCCAAAGTATAAATGCCTCTTTCAAAAATATTGCAAAACCCTCTGAAGTAGAAGGGGTGGCAGGTATGTGTCTGAAGTCTAGAGACAATCAGAAATAATGTGTGGATTTCCAGCCATCTAAGATTACCTAGGGTTAGTTTTTCATGACCGTGGGATCACCAAGAGTCGATGATGTGGTATTTTCCTCTTCTCACCGTTGGGGTATAATCTCTGTTTCTGCTCAGGCATCTCTAGGACCAAAATCAGAAGAATGTTTTGGTCTTTGGACCACCTACTCCTTGCCACTCAGAGGCTGGCTGAGAATTCTGACTTGTTACTATGGATCCCTCCCACTTTCTAGAACTCTCTCCGTTCCTGGGGTCCAGGTCACTGTTCCTCCTACCACTCTGATGGTGGACCCCCCCAGCATTTCGGTTGACCCCCCCCTCCCCGCCTGCCCCATGAATGTCCCTGGTGCATTTCCCTTCTCTCTTGAACAGCTCTCTGCCTGGCTAATGTCACCCACTGCCACATCTGTAAATCCGACCTTGGCCGCTCCCCTGAATTCTAGAAGCGTATTTCTAACACATGACTAGACATCACTTGACCATCTCTCAGGCACCTCAACTACGGTCTCACAAACCATATTCGGTAGAATTCTTCCTCCTCTCACGTCATGACATCTCCACCCATTCCCCTGAGCTGCCCTTCACCTCTCTTACCCCACACGTTCAGTCGGTCTGCTCACCTCCTAGATAGTTCTCAAGCACGCTCTCCACCCCCACTGAATCCACCTTGGTTCAGGCTCTCCTTATCTCTGACCTGAACTGCTGCCATTCTGGTGACCTGTATCCTCCTCGAGGTCAGGGTGTTTCTCCTCCAGCACCGTATCCCCATCAGAGGGTCACAGTCATTGCCAGCATCCACTAAGAAGCAGTAGAAAGTTCTGGAGCCAGAGCGGCCATGTACTCACTGCATGTCCCTGTGTGTCAGTTTTCTCATCTGCGACAATGGGTTGTCATGCAGATTGAAAGAGGATCTGTAAGTACATAAGTAACGCACTTACAACGAACAGTGCCTGACCTGTGCACAGTAAACCGTTAGCTTTTATATTTCATAAATGTATGTGACTTGCTAAGAGTTAGTTTTTAGTTTACTGTTACTTTTTTTTTTTTTCAAATGGAATCATATCAGCCTCCTATGTAAGATCATTCACTGGCTGCCCATCACTCACAAGACCAAGTCCATCCTTCTGAGCATGAAGAATAAAGCCCATCTTTCCCGTTCCATTTGCAGCTCCTGCAACAGGCATCCTCACCCCATAGCGCTCACTGCTTCACCATCACCGCAGCCTCTTCCTATCTAGGTCCGTGCCCGTCTTTTTGTTTCTCGGCCATGGAACAAACTCCTCCCGAGCCTTCGATACCCAGCTCAAATGGCACTTGCTCTTCAATGTGACTTCCCTAGATAGAGCTGCTGGTCTCTTTCCCCAAGCAGCTGCCCTCTGTCCACACCTCCGGTGCAGCATGTAAATGCTGCGTTGTACTATTCCTTGTTTATCTCTTTCTCCCTAAGTGGATCCTAGTGGGACATACATCGAGGAGAAGGTACCCTCTTGTCAAGCCAGGAGCTTTTCTGATACGGTTTTTGGTATAGAGATGTGATCATCCTAAACAGGCTGTTTTGGCCTCATAATTATAGAAAGAAGAAATGCAGGAGGGAAGGCTGAGGGAGGTACCCCGTGGTCCTGTGGGCAGTGAGCACCACCTTCCTTCGTGGCTCCTGATTGAGCAGCATGGAGCCCCAGGAGCCTGGCTTCTGTCAGGAAGCCTCGTGGCCCAGGCAGCAGGATGAATGACCTAACTAGATTTCTTATTTTCCTTTCTGGCCTTGACCCCAGTGGTCTGGAGAAGAAGAGGAGATAGGAGGCAGATGTTTCCGGCAGCCCAGGCACAGCTTCTGCTCCAGGCCTGCATGGCTCCCCGCGGGACTCACTGCTCTCTCCCCACCAATGCCTGTATATCCCACACACAGCCTAGCACCCACCCGAGAAAGCATCGCAATCCCTGGCCGGGGCTAGATGAGCTTCCAGAACGTACATACAGAGTCCAGCCTTTAGAGCCTGGGTACTGAATAAATCTGAGTACCCCTGGTATTCCAAGGATGGCAATGAAATAACAGGACATCTGAAGTTCAAGACTTTCTTGATTTCTGTGGCCCATCAGCTCATTCATTCTTACTGAGAAGTTCTGTATATACTGGAGCAGTAGAAACCCAGAGGCATCTGTACTCTGGGGTTTTATGATACTGATGCACGCTGTGAGCACTCCAATATCTGTGTGAATGGAGGGGAGAAGAGCACAGGAAAACGAAAACATTCATATGGAACATTAGAGTGTATCGTGTCGTTTCACTCTCTTTTCTTTTTTTTCTGCAGCAGCAATTTGCCTAATGATGTTTTGCTCCGATTAATATTAAAGTAAGTTTGTATTCCTCAAGCACACACTGACTGTTGTAGAAAGGCATCATCTGAGTGTGCCAGACCTGAGATTTGACACTTGGCACATATAGCCCCCAAATGGGTAATTACATTTAAAAAGTTCAGTGTTGACATATCCAAGGAGGTTCGGTATACGTCCAGGATACCTGTGTTGACTAACGTCTGTCTGGCGTCTCTTTATTTATGAAGCGCTTTCGCATAGTCTCTGCTTTAATATGGCAACCCCCAGGGGCAGGTAGTTGATTTCCATTTTACACGGAAGGATGCTAAGGCCGTGGTGGCTAGTGGTGCTGTGGAAAGAAGAGAGAGCACAGTGGTTGGGGTGGGGCATTGAACCCAAGTTTCTTGTCCCCAAGCCCATACACTTCCAACTATCCATCTTGATGGTACAGTTAGGTGCATTTCTCCATGTCAGGGCTGTGTGTCAGGGGAACATTCTAGATCCTTTCTAATCTGAGGATACTGTCTATCCCATACTATCCTATCCTGTATAGTGTCTCCAGCCAGCCAGAGCATCTAAGACCCCCTTGAAAATGTGACTTTGTTATTTTCCCCCTACAATGTCCTATTCCACCTTTGATTAACAAATGGGGAAGTTTTATATTCTGTTCTTTTTCTCTTCTTCACTCTTAACTAGAGTCTTCTCTGTCAAGAAAAGTAAAAAAAAAAAAAAAAAAAAAGCAGACAGTGATTAAAAAGTAAGAGAGACATAAATGCCAAAATTAAATTAATGCCCCACATTTTCGCTGGATATATGACCCGTTTTTTTCAAGAAGGTCTGTTTCATTTCAGAAAGACTGTCTAGAAAAATGGAGAACAATGCTAAGTAAACCAGTGAATCATTTCTAATACTGCTTAATACTCTGCTATAAGGAAACAGAAAATGCAGAGTTCTATTCCTTAAGGCTAAGTAACATGATAGCCCATAACGTGGAAATATGGTTTCCTGGGTGTATCATCATTTTAATATTGGTTATGTATTGGGCACTCCTATCTCAAGAAGCCTCAGGTGTTCTATCAACATTACTGTAGTAATTCTCACATTCCCCCTTCATGTTGATGGCTGGGACCCATTTTCTGGAAGAAGACAATGGCACCCAGAGAAGTTGAGTGGCCTCCCTGGAATCACACAGCAGGCCAAAGTCAGTGCCAGGATTAGAATTTAGATCTCCTCATACTGGATTTCCAACCAGCAGAGTGAAAATAGATATGCTAGTGTGTGGGTTACACAGGCAACAAACTCATGTGGGTGTTTTATGTGAGAAGGAATTAAGTGCTTGCTTCTTTTTCCCTCTTGGCTTCAGAGGTGGGAAGTGCATGCTAAACCCAACTATCATCAAGACAGTCCATTGCAGACACCCAGAGGAAAGCTACCCGTGGGTTCCTGGGGCGGGATGGGAGGAAATCATCTTCTTCTGCCTCTTCCAGAAGGAGACATGGACACTGCCTCCTTTTATCTCTTCAGCCCTAAAGAGTATTTTATTGATTATCTACCGCTGCTGAGAATTGAAGGAGACCTCTGAATACGTTGCCATTTAGTTGTAAAGACCACCTGGAGGACAGGAGGAGCCTTTGTCCTTGGCTCTGAGGGAGAGGGGAGGGGGTGCAGGGAAGGAAGAGAGTCGGTACCACTAGTTTGTGTGCTGTGACCACGAAGGAAAGGGGGACCAGGATGCACAGCCCTTCTGCGGACACGGGAGAACCCACCAGACATCTGACCCACTCCATCTGTGACTTGGTTGGGAAGGCTGAGGCGGAACTGAGGTTGCAATCATTGGCTTCTAAGAACCATCCTTCCAGAATAGAGCCTGGTGTTCCCCTAATGGCTTCCCTGGAGAGCCCTGGGGAACGCTCATGACTCATGGAGTATAACCCATAGAAACTCCAGGAGTTATGGAATGTGACTGTGGCCTCACGGCATTCTCTCCCCAACCATCATTCGCATCTGTCACTGTAGGACAGAAAAAGGTATTTCTGGTCCGTTGAGGGAGAAGGAAGTTCTGTCCTTTGTCACATCTCCGCTCCTCCCTCCCTCTGCACTCATGGCTACCATTAGACAGAGGGAAAGCCACCACACATGGCTATTACTATGTGTTAACTCATCCAGCTCTCAAAACACCCCCCGAGGCAGGTTTTATTGTTACCCCCATGTTACAAAAGAGGAAATGGAGGCCCAGAGAAGTTAAGTAACTTGTTCTGGGTCACACAGTTGTAAATGATAAAGCCAGGATTCAGTCCTGGGCAGGCTAGCTCCAGAGTCTGTGTTTTAATCTACTGCCTGTCCTGCATTACCTGGCTCTGGGGTCTTTATACATCTGGCTCCCGACTCTGGGAAGGCAACTGAATTCTCACTATAATGTCATTTCTTCTAGTACACATAGAATGAGGTATCTGTGAGTCAACAGATTATCTTTAAGGACAAGAGGAATTTTTGACATGCAAGGGGAATTTAGTGCCACTTTGTAGCTCTACCGCTAACATTCAAAGGGTCTCCCCACGCTGGGATGGTGATCAGTTGGTGACCAGCCCCTTGGGTCTCTCCCACTATCAGACAGCAATGAGAATGCTGGCTCTGGTGTGGTCAGCCTGAAACACAGTACAAAAGTCAAGGAACTATGGCCACCTGGGTGACTCAGTCAATTTAGCACCTGTCTCTTGGTTTTAGCTCCGGTCATAATCTCAGGGTGGTGAGATCCAGCCCTGCGTCGGGCTCCGCACTCAGCGCAGAGTCTGCTCGAGATTCTCTCTCTCTCTCCCTCTGCCCCTCCCCACCGCTCGCTTGCACGCTCTCTCTCTCTCAAGTAAATCTTTCTTTAAAAAAAGTCAAGGAACTAGTTAAATTTTGGTGCTGTCTAATTTTCAGCTCCATCTGCAGGGCTTGGCCTGTCCTGGACATTTGGGGCATAGACTATATGTAACCAATTATCTACCTTCAAAGTGGTTGTAGTCACCAGAAGGAACTGGCCCAACTTGCAGCCCACAGGACATGTATAAGTCAATACAAATGCCTCTAAATACAACAGAGTCAAAATAAATGATGATGGGTATAAATAAATAATGTTGAAGAGGACTTTAAGGGGTTGAGATAGGGTAGGATAGGATTCTGCTGGCATTGGGGAGAAGGCGTGAGATTAATTAGGGGGTTTACTGGAGCAAGTTGCAAAGATAAAAAGGAGAGGAAGGTGCGGTACAGAGGCCATTTGAATGAAGGAGGGGTGGCATATCTGTGGCACGGCATGATGAATGAGCACCAGAGAAATTGAAGCCATCGCCAATGATTTGAGCAAGGCATTTAACCTCCCTGGGTCTCCATTCTTCCATCTGTCAATATAGAGAACTGGGTATTGAAATCAAGAGAACATAGTGAAACATTCTGAGTTCTTTGGAAGTATCGCCATCATATATCCTCTGGGTTAAGGAGAATCTGTTATTTGGAGGAAATGCCTGTGGCATATGACACCTGATTTGCCCCCAAGCATCAATAACTCAGATGTCTTTGGGGTAAAGAAGCAATCCAAACCATCCGCATAGAAAAAAATAGTAGGAGTTTGGAGTCTGCAAATAACATACTTCTCTTTGGCATTGTATAAACAGCCTGGGCTCAGCCCAAACCAAGGCAGTATAAGCCCAGACCCAACTCTCAAATAACTGCCCACTCCTTGCTCTTTTGGTTGGCGTCAGTCAATCACAAGTAGAATCAGATGTTCTCTTGCCAACATGACTGATATGTTTCCAGTGGAGCTATGTTTATGTCTTGATCTTATTTGTGTGATGCTCTATGTTTTATAACTTGAGTCTCCAGGAATTTTTCCCATGACTGTGCATCATTCCTTATCACCCATAACCAAATATGGCAGCTTTAAATAGTGCTGTCATTTTCCTCAATTCACTCGTTGTGATATAATCAGATATAGATTTCTGACATTGAGCATCTAATGGGGTTTCAGATTCAGAAAGCAACAATGAAAGATTTTTTCCCCCCTGGGTATCTCTCAATTGGGAGACATGGAGTGAAATAGTCATGAGCGACAGGGCACTTAGAACCCATGTCCATTTGCCCTGAGAAGCTGTGGGGTGTGGAAGGACAGAGGGAAGGAGGAGTTGGAGAAAGCAGGCTGCATGTAGAGGGGGGCGACTACCACTGAGCTCCAGGCCATTGGCGATTTAGGCCCAGAGTTTCCAGACCATCCCGTTTTGTGAAAGAAGCCAGAAATCTGGATTTTTATATGAGCTCTCTCAATCCATGATAGTAACGAATATAGAATGGGCGAACACGGCAGGGTAAACAGGCAGGTTGTATGAGAGCTGTCTGTGGTAAGACAGCGGTGTGGCCCCTTTGATCTAAAGGGGCTCCCACCAAGGCCAGAGGAGGGCTTGCACTTGCCCAAGACCACGCAGTGACAGAGGGGCTCACTGAACTCCATCCTGCTCGTTCCGTTTCACTTTCCTCCAGAAAACGTCTGGGGGCTTGGTGCCTCGGTTTCTGTTCCTGGCCCCATCCTTTGGCTCCCGTGACTCTGGCCAGGCACAGCCCTGGGCTGGGGACAGACCACGTCTCCCTACAGCATGACGGTACCTGAGCCCTGAGCTTGGTATCAGAAGACGTGCATTTGAGTCCCAGCTCTCCCAATTACTAGCTATGCGACCTTGGCCCCCCATCTCTCAACTGCCCTGGGCTTTTGGTTTCTTCACTAGTAAAATGAAAATAATATTCTGCCTCACAGCACTGTTTTGAGGTTAACGTGAGAAATCTCACTGTGCATCAGATCACACTGCAAACAAAAAACCAAGGTGCCTATTACATTAGCATCCTCATGAGAAAGACAGGAGTGTCAAAGAGGGGTGCTGTCGAGCTCCAGCGCCGCGGACACCAGCGACTCTAAGGCGCCTCTGAGCCCACCATGCCGTCCCCGGGAGGTGGGGGGCGGTGGGGGACACAGGGCAGTACATGAGGGACGCTGAGACCTGTTCCCCTTGCCCAGCACAAAGCCTCCCTCAACCTAGGAAGTGACGTGGCCGCAGCTGTCCCTTTGTTTGGTCTGCTGAGATCAGGGCTGGCTAGGTGTCGGAGCAGCCCCTCTACACCTTGGGCCCCAGTGCCATTTAAACCAGTCACCCAGAACCCCAGGGGGCAGGGCCGTCTGGGGCCAGACCTGCACCCCTCACACCTACTCTGGTCGGCCCCACCCTGCCCAGGGGCCATCCTGACCGACCGGGTACAGTGAATCTGGTTTTGTCTTCATTTCCAGGGACGCAAACCTGGCTATTTCTCCTTCCTGGACCCATTTTCCCCCGGAGTCTGGCTCTTCATGCTTCTAGCCTATCTGGCTGTCAGCTGCGTCCTCTTCTTAGTGGCTCGGTAAGCTCCTCTCCCCTTCCCTGTCCTCGCACTGCCACCTCGCGCCCACCTCTGAGAACTGCATGGGAGGGGTGGCACGTGGGAGGGGCGGGGTCAGAAGACCTTGGGGCCACACTGGAGGGGTGGGAGAGGGACTCGGGACCTGACCTGCTCTCTGCCCTGCAGTCCACCTGGCACTACCCATGCCCCCACCTATGCACACCTTCCTTTCCTTGCAGAGGGCAGACAAGCCAGCTTATCTGAATTTGCTTCTGTACCCTTGCCTCTCCCCACCTCGTCTCTAGGCCCTCTGTTTGTGTGGGGGCCTTGGGAGATAGAAGGCGGTGGGTGAGGGGGAAGGTGACAGGAAGATTACTCTGATTAAGCATTATGCGTTTGGCTGCCCTGGCATCAGACCTTGCCAGGATCTGCCACAGAGTGCTGAATGACAAGAACCAGAGTGGGGGGACCGGAGGCCTCAGGGCATGGGCGAGGGAGAAGGTTTCCTCTGGAGAGGGCCTGGACCTTCCCCAGCCCAGATCTGCCAGTGAAAATACAGCTGCCTTGTTGAATGAGAGCCGTGAAGGATGGCACAAGACAGGAGGGCGCGATGGAGAGAGGCATTTGCAAGTAGTGTTGAGTTGCGACAACTGGTCCAGATCAGGGGTTGGGGATAATTAGGCCCTCCGCTTCCCCTGGAAACAGAAACTGTCCCTGGGCCTACAGAAGAACCTGAGGGCATCCCATGGCTGAGGCCTCCCATGAATGTGGACAGAGAGGGTTGTTGCTCTCCGAGGCTGGGCCATTGGATCAGCCTGGGCTTCGGGAGAGCCAGCTTACTGCCCAGAAGCTGAACAAGCCCAGTGGCCCAGGGCTCACTCATTCAGAATTCCCGCTCTCTGCTCAGTGCTCAGCTTCAAGAATGAGCTTCAAGATGAGCTTCAAGAATGCTAGCGGAGACTCTGTCCCAGCCGTCTCCGTAGTGGTCTCCTTTGCTTCGGGGCCACAGGGGCAGGACCAGATGATTCCAGTGTATGTCCCACCTCTGTGGGACGAGGTCTTCCCCCTCCCCGAGCATGTCTGCTCAGCGGCTCAAGGAGAGCATGCGCTCCCTCGAGTTAGAACACGGAACCCAGGGCACCCCAGGGTGCCCAACCCCCAGGGCAGCCCCCAGCCTACCCAGGGAGCATTGTCTCACCCGGTCTATGCCTCTTCCAGTGGAGATCAAAGCCAAGTTCAGGAAAGTCAGCCTGAGCCCATGAGATCGAGCCAAACAGAAGAAGGCCTGGCTGACAAGCTGATAGTCTTCAAAAGGCTGCTATGTGTGTCTCTCGGGTGCCACCTACCCCCCTCGGGCCTGGAGGTATTGCCACGGTCAAGTATCTGTTGTCAGTGACAACGGGCGAGACATGGCAGGAGGCTGGCATGCTGGATGACGCGTCCCCTCTCCACTCCACCACGCTCTCTCCTGCTGCACTCAGGAAGCTGTGTGCTGAGCCCTGGCTCCGGGCTCTGGAATGCACTCTTGCACCCTTTGATTGGGCCCCCGTGTGCAGCTAGCCAAGCTCTCAGGGGACCTTGGGGGCCCTGGAAGTGGTCGGAGGTCTTCGTTAGTAGATACACAGACGCACGAGCCTGCTTTACCATGCCTGCCACAGCCTGAGGCTTTTCAACCAGCCCCGGGGGCTTAAACAGCCCCCCTTCCCTACCCTGCACACACACACACACACACACACACACACACACGCGCGCGCGCGCACGCACACACACACGCACACACACAAACTGCCCCCAGGATCCAGCATTAACAAAAGGATTATTCAAAAAAATACCTCCGTATATATCTATATCTACATTATATTATATATATATAAATAATGCATGAACCTAGGCTAATTTACCTACCTTAGGTAGGTACTAGTTTTCAAACAGGGTTCCGTGGGGCATGAAGGCTCCTGGGAGGTGCCAGACAGAGACTTTGGAGGGGTGGCGAAGAGGCTGGGCTCTGAGGCCTCAACTCCTCTTCATTCAGACCAGCTCCACTTTTATCTCTTGATGTATTGTACTTCTGGGTGAGATTTTGGAGGGGGAAAACTATTTGGAAACCACTAATCTAAGGCAGCCATTCCCAAGCCGGCTGATGTCAGAGTCACACAGGGAGTCTTTAAAAATGTGAATTCCCAGGTCTGATCTCTCAGCACCTCTAGGGGTGGGGAATGTGTATCTCTGAAGCCCACTTCCAATAGCCTGTGGGCTTGGAAACCACCGAGGACAAGCCAGCTCTGTAGGCCACGGGGAGAAGGAGCACATCTCGGGACACGGGCCAATGAAGACACACTGGCATCCTATTCAGGAACCAGAGGGGCGGTGGCCACGTGGGTGAGCCACGGCAGAACAACAAGCAGGCTAGGCCGAGGGGAGGGTTGGGAAGGCCAGTGATGAGAACAGCACCCGGGGACCCTGTGAGCACACGGTGCCTGCCCTGCTCGGCACACACCCATATGCATCCCTCTCAGCAGAGCCGGGAGGTTTTGCGTGGGAGCCAGGCCGGGGCCGCGGATCCGAGGACGGAAGGCGTGTGTCTGGTGGGCAGGAAGAAAGGGCCTTCTGGACATCAGAGAGGGCAGTGGGAGGGAAGGGCAGAGAGCTTAGAGCAGCCCTTCTCGATCCTGGGTGCCCATCACACTCACCCGCGGAGCCTTAAGAGAGCACGGTTGCACAGGCCCCAGCTGGACAGATGAAATCAGAACCTCTGGGAGTGGCATCTCGTCATCGGTGTTTCTGTGAAAGCTCCCAGGTGAGTCTGACACAGAACAGGGCTGAGACCCACAGCCCGAGGGACTGTCTAGGTCAGGGTTGCTCAGTGTGGACCGGGGGCGTCAACGTGACCCAGGAGCCTACAGATTCTTAGTCGGCACCCAGACTCCCTGAATTGGAATCTTCAGGCATTGAGCCCAACCGTCTATGTTTTAACAAACCTTCTTGGTGATTCTGATGTAGGCTTACGTCTGAGAACCACTGTTCTAGGCTGAGGGTTTTCACACTGGCTCTGTGGGGCCCTCAGGTCCATCCATGACCAGTTTAGGGGGCTGGCGGTGGCAGAACATGCCACTTCCCAGCCATCCCCTCCTGCCACGCCCAGCTTCTAGTCAGGGACCTGCACTTTTATCGGTTTGTTGTGCTTGGAGTTCCACATCATGGTTTATTTTAAAAAAATAAAAAATTTTTTTAATTGAAGAAAAGCAGTACAAACACAGCCGACGTAGTCCAAGCCCCTCGGTTTTTGGTTGGGAAGATCCCGGTCCAGCCAAAGCCACAGGCCAGGGACTGAAGTACAGAGGTGAGGCCAGAAAGGAGAGCCCCTCCCACTCTCCCCAGCATGTTCTGCCACACCCACCCTCCCTGGCACTGGTCTGTGCTCTTTTTCTCCCACAGGTTGACCCCCTACGAGTGGTACAGCCCCCACCCATGCGCCCAGGGCCGGTGCAACCTCCTGGTGAACCAGTACTCCCTCGGCAACAGCCTCTGGTTTCCTGTTGGGGGCTTCATGCAGCAGGGCTCCACCATCGCCCCCCGAGCCTTATCCACCCGCTGTGTCAGTGGCGTCTGGTAAGATCCGGGGCAGAGGAGGGGCCGGGGCCAGGGGGGGTGGGGACCCCAAGGGGGTCCTTGGGTAAGCCCTGCTCTGGCTGTGGGTAGGCAGGAAGCTCACAGAGAATTCTGCCTTCCAAACAGACTAGCAGGGAACTGGGCTGCATTCCGCCAGCTCCAGAAGGCTTGGGAGCACTGTCTTGGGAGCACTGTCTTGGGCACACTTTGTACCATCTTTTCCTCTTCCTCGGAGGTCTGGAGACAGAGGGGAGGGAGCCAGGGCAGGAAGGGGATGCAGAAAACAGCCTTGTAGGCCACACAACGAAGCCATTATAATTTCCTGACCTGAAAATGACCTGAGGTTGCACGGCTGGGTCTGCCAAGGCATATGCAGATTTATGCAAATCGGAGTGTTCCGTAGGAAGTGCCTGCTGGAAGAATGGAAAGCCGGCTATAGTCACATCTGATCCCCTCTGCCAGCTTTCTTGAACTTCGTCCCTCTGGGCCTGGCTCTGGGGCCTTGCTGGACCTGTCCACCTCAGCAGGTGTGGGCAAAGGCAGACTCTTGCGGCTCAGAGTTGGACAGGCGCTCGGGAGCTGTCCATATGGGCAGTCAGCCTGCCTCGGCCTGCAGCTGCCCTCTCCTCTCGGCTCACCCAGGGCAAAAAGAATACGGTTGAATGATTCGATGTGTGAGAAAGCAATCTGAAAACCTGAAAGTGCTACGTAAATATGTGGGCTAATCAGTGCTGTTAGACCATTATGGGGCGAAATGAAACCCACACACATATATGTGTGTTGGATGGCTATAGCAGAGGCAAGCTTGCAGAATCCCAGTTCCCCAGCCTCGCTTAAAAACCCACCGTGGGTTTGGCTGTCACAGCCTATGGGACTTACAGCCTTCGTCCTCTCCCCTCCTTCTCAGCCTGTGTAAGCCAAAGGAGACAGGACAAGTGGTGTTTCCACCCTGGGCACCAGTGTCCGGACAGTTACCAGAGGGACACTGGACTGGGGCTGATGGGAAGGTAAAAACGCAGCTGGGACAGTGACCCCTGCCCAGCTGGGGTTTTTGTTTTCTCTGATAAATGATAAATACAGTAGGATTTCAGACTTCTGGGCGAGGTGCTCACCCATTACCAGATAGTGCCCAGGGATCACCACGTAGATCAATGGGAAGAACTGGGGTTTTTTTTGTTTTTGTTTTTTTTTTGAATTTTCAACGCTTTTATTACAAACCCCCATGATAATTGTACTGACACCAAAATGAGTGCAGCAGTGTAGGGAAACAGAAAAAAGACGGGAGGAAGTGGGTGTTCAAAAAGTTGTGTAAGAACTCACACTTCTAAAGGCATCCCCGATGGGAAGAACTGGGTTTTAATGTTCCTCAGAAAAAGGGACAGTCTTGGCAGGGAAAATCACAGAGTTCCCTCAAAATCCTGGAGATCTGGACAGAAGCCGTACAGACGAGCAGAAGTCGGCCACAGACTGATCTCTTTCTACCTGGGGGTTTTCCTTCCAGAGGGTGGTGTTTCTCTGCGTTGCAGGGAGGGCCCCATTGTCTGCTTCATCCACCTGTCAGCTCCCCAACCCCCAGGAATTCCCTCCTCCACAGGAATGTCTGCCTGAGAGCCTGGGAGGGCCACCTGTCCTGCAGGCTGCTCCCTCCTGGCCCACTGGCTCCGCAGTACTTTAAATAGCTGTCCTGGGGGGGCTCCCTTATGTGTGTGGGAGGGGGGCCGTTGAGCTGTTAGGAAGACCCTCTGCCTCTTGGAGTTCTCCGTTATCAAATCAAGGCCTCCATTTGGTCAGCTCCCTGAAGGAGTGGGAGATCTAAAGAGAGGGCCATGGCAGCCTGCCTTAGATTCCTCTCTCAGAGCAAGAGACGGAAAGTGCCACGTTGCCAACAAGAATGGCAGCCTTTCAGACTGGAGCAGGGCTCCACTGACCCCTCAGGAGAGAGGGTGTGATCTGCTTTCTCAGCAGAGACAATACGCTTGCCCTGAGCTGCTTGGCTGTCTGACCCATTCCTTTGTGACCAGTGGTATAAAGTGCCACATGGCCACCCAGGGTGGGACAGAGGCCGGAGCGTAGCCATGGGGCTGAGGGAACCTCCCCAGCCAACTCTGAGGTCAAGTCCACACCCAGGGCTCATGAACCCACAGCGCTAGCCAGGGTAGCTAAGCCGCTTTAGAATCCTGGCCTCAGTGTGGAGATGGCTCACCTTGCCTCCCCAGCCCCTACTGGGGGATGGTCATGAGAAAGAACTTCCAGCGGAGTGTATGAGCTGAAGCAGGAGCAGGAAAACGCAGGTCTTAAGGACGGAAGGACACCTGGCACTTACAGGTCCCAAATCGGGAAGGTGGCCAGATGCTTTTCATCCCATATTCAGTGGGAGGGTCTATCTCTCCATTTCTCTATATCTCACATTCATCTCGTCCTTTACAGAGTATTAGTCACCAGTGACATACTGTCTCATTTGATCTCACAATTCTCTGAAGTCAGGCAGAGCAGACATTATGATCCCTGAGCAGACGAGCTCAGAGGAGGTATGTGGCTTTTCCCCCAAGGTCTCACAGGTGGAGTGCAACAAGGCCAGAAGTAAAACCAGGTCACCTCCCTGGTGGTCTGGCATATGGAGGTACCCATTGAGTTGGTAGATGGCCCTGTCACTTCCCACCTTGGAGGCAGCCCACGGAAGTCCTTGGACACAGTGGTAAAGGAAACAATGGGACTTCCTGCTTTAAAAAATCCCCTGGAAGCTGCCAGCCTCTGAATCTTGTGGCAAATGCTATGCTTTAATTGACAATGTCTTCATAATGAGGAAAGCCTCATTAATTCACACACCACTGATTCAGAATTTGTGATTATCCAACCTCAATTATGCTTGGATATGTCTTTGAACCCCTATAAACAAATGGACTGGGATGCAGATCCACACTGCTGACCAGATGGTAGAAGGCTTATTTAACCTACTGAAGTGAACAAACTAGTTGTAATGGCTTTAAGTATGGATGCTGCCTAAGTTGCAAAACTATTCTCATTTTAAAGGAGTTTGCACTACCCAATAAAATACTCTTCTATTTTGAAATAGCTCGCCCATCACAAGAGTAGTTTCTTTTTTTTCTCTTTTTTAAGATTTTATTTATTTATTTGAGGGAGAGAGAGAGCGAGAGAATGCACGCATGAGCAGGGGGGAGGGGCAGAGGGAGAAGCAGGCTTCCCGCTGAGCAGGGAGCTCAATGCAGGACTGGATCCCAGGACCCTGAGATCATGACCTGAGCCGAAGGCAGATGCTTAACGGACTGAGCCACCCAGGTGCCCAGAAGAGTAGTTTCCAATTCCAACTTCTCAGCAGTTCAAAGGTGCTTGTCACCAGTTAATCTTAAAGAGTTTCTTGTTGGTAAAACTGTCCTTAAAATATGGATTTCTCTGTGTGTTACTTGGCAAGTTCCTTTGCTTCTCTGAGCCTCCGTTGCCTCATCAACAAAATCAGGATAAGAATTTTACCTCCCTTAGTTGTCAGGAGTCCATGAGATGGTGTGTGTGGTTCATGGCAGGTGCTCAGTACATGGCGATGCACATCTGGTGGTTGGCTGCATCATGAGAAGACAGGGGCAGCCACCCAGCCCCAGCTCTAAACAGAGCCCTCAGAGCTGTCACCCTTAACTCATTCACTAGCTCATTCCTCACGGTCTCTGAGATGGTCTCATGTGCATGGACATACCTCTTTTGAATAGCAACCCAATAATCACCTCTTTTAAGAAATGAGAAAAAAAATTAATGGTCTTCTTTTAAGCAAGCCTCACAAACTCTGTTCATTTCTGTTGACATCATATGCCCTGCCTCCTCTGTCTTCCCCCATGGAGCTGGGAGCTCCTTCCTAAGAGGGACACCTGGTCTCTCCTATGTCGCTGCAGGACTGGGGATGGGGGCCGAAACTCCTGGGGATACCTGGGCAATGATGATTTCCTGGTCTTTTCCTACATAGGTGGGCATTCACGCTGATCATCATCTCATCCTACACGGCCAACTTGGCAGCCTTCCTGACTGTGCAGCGCATGGATGTGCCCATTGAGTCAGTGGATGACCTGGCTGACCAGACCGCCATTGAGTATGGCACAATTCACGGAGGCTCCAGCATGACCTTCTTCCAAGTAAACCCATTGGGCTGCTCACCAACATGGGGAATTGGGCAGAGTAAAGTTGAGATGTTTGTCCTCTAAAGATGAAAACATCAATCTTCATCCCATTATCTCTTTTGAACATCTAACTTGGAGGTTCACTTGGGGCTTATTTATCCCCTGCTCTGCAGAGTACCCTGGAGTTAATAGGTATCTAACCAACCTACTACCCAAGACATCCATTTTCACATGAAACAAGTCCAGAGCCTTCAGTTTTCTGTTTTCCATACAAGCCTCAGTGCCTGTTGGTACCACAACTACTGAAGGCATCATGCAGACACAGGTGTGGCTAGACACACACACCTCCCCCCCCACCCCCGCCAAATGCTCTCAGACTTCTTATTTGTAAAAATAGAGGCCAGTGCTGGCTCTGGGATTGATAAGTTGGTTTAGGGTCGACAGAAAATAGCTGGCGCTCCTCCTTCAGATGGTGTCTCTTAGAAATCCCGATGACCCTGAGTTCACTGCCTCCAACTTAAAGGACAGCGAAGGACACAACCAGAATTTCCACTCTTCATTCTATCAGAACCCGGAGGTTGGCAGTGGAAGACTTCTCTAGGGTAGATGGGCCAAAACCGATTATCAAACCACTAGGCAGAGTTTACAGTGCCTTAGGACCCTGTTCTTTCCTTGCCTTTCTGTGAAAGGTATCAGAGGCATGGCTGCCCCCTCCTGCCATGATACAGTGGCCACTGAGAGACGGAAGGGAAAAGGTTATATTGAAAATAATGAGGGGATTGAGTAACAAAAGGGCCAGGATTTTCAGGTCCACTTTGATTCCCTCCCTTTTAATGCCAACATTTCCTTTCTCTTGTTCTAACCCTGCTTCCTTGTGTTCTTCTCCCAGAATTCCCGCTATCAGACCTACCAACGCATGTGGAATTACATGTATTCTAAGCAGCCAAGTGTGTTTGTGAAGAGCACCGAGGAGGGAATCGCTAGGGTGTTGAATTCCAACTACGCCTTCCTTCTGGAATCCACCATGAATGAGTACTACCGGCAGCGAAACTGCAACCTCACTCAGATTGGGGGCCTGCTGGACACCAAGGGCTATGGGATTGGCATGCCAGTCGGTATGCAGGAGAGGGACAGCCTCTTTGGGTAGCACCATCCAGGCAGGGTCAGAGTAGCTAGGACCACTGAATGCAGCACTGAATTCGACAACCCTGTTCTAGAACCAGTTAACAGTGACTTTAGGTGGTGGGCATTCTCCAGGTTAAAACAAACAAACAAACAAACAAAAAACAAGCAAATCCACATACTTCTACTGATCAGTGATCCCACTCTCAATCCTTAAGTATGGAAGGATGACTTGATTAGTTACTAATTGATTAATTACTCAAGGGCATCTTGATGCCCTTGGTGGATTCTTCAGGGCTTTTGTTCACTCTTCTGCTTCCTGCCCTTTGGCCCTTTCTCTGTTGGTGGACCTCTCTACCAGCAGTGGGAAGGAGATGGAAGAGGTGGTCAAACTTAACTAATTTTGCTATTAGTGTCCCTGGTGAAAGGCTTATTACAAAAGGAGACTGACATGATGAGATAAAGTGGTTTTCAGATCATTTGTGGGTCTCATGGACCCATCTACTCCAAATCAGCGTAGGTCATTGAGAAGAAGGAGTAGAACTCAGTATTCATTTGGCTGTGTACCTTCCTGGCTGTTACAGGATGGTAGGGATGTTTGGCTTCCCGAAAGGTCTCCCAGCTATGCTTTCTAAAGGATATTCACACTTTGGGCCTTCCCCAAAAGGAAGGTGAAGGGAAGCAAAATGAACTGCTTTTTGAATTGGCGAGGGAATCTGAAAATGTTCCCTGGGTGCTTGGCACATACACACTTCCCCCACCCACCATGGAGAGTCACACTGTATAGGGCTGTCCTCACTCGACGCTGTTCTTCTACAAGGTTATCCTGTGCAAGGCAGCAGGGGGGAACCAGCAACTAAGGCCACCAGACCATGTGGGGAAAGCATGTACATCTTTGCTGTTATCTAACACACTCCTTCTCTTGATCTTTACCTAACTCAGAACTCTGTTGGGTTCACTCTACCTGTGGAGTGTAAAAAGCCTGGGTTTGGAGTCAGGCAGACCTGGGAATGCACCTGGTTCCAGGCTGTGGGACCTCAGATCATTTAAGCTCTCTGAGTCTCAGTTATTCCATCTGTAAAATTAGGTTTCTAATACCTGCCTCATGGGGTAATTAAGGGGTAAACCTAATAATCTGGTCAGGTGCCTTACCACAGCATCTCCCACTTAGCCTGCTTGTGGGGAACAAGAGTACCCTCCCCATCTTCTCCCTAATCCCCTATGTTATCTGATAAAAGCAGATGACTTCTTAAAAATGGGTGGGAAGCCAAGCCAATGAGCATAGGCAATGATACAGTTCCTTCTTGAGCTCAGTGAATCCTGACACTAGCAGTTCTATGAACCAGAGCCCTCGCTCTGGGCACTTGTAAACCCACATACTCTCTTCTTACCATATTTCATTGATATTTGTTAATATACAGATTATGGGCCTCTTTGAGAAATTTATTGGCTTCCATTTTGTTTCAAGATTGTGGAGTGAACCACAAAATAAACTTTTAAGATGCACCTTGATCAGGATCCAGCAGTTTAAGAAATTTAATTGAAATCTCAAATGCTTCAAAAGTTTTCATGGAACAAACCTGTAGAGAGTTGACACAAAGCAGACCAACTCTAGAAATTTTTATCAATAACGAAGGAAAAAGGGAAGGAAATACGTTTCTTCTGCATCTGGCATGATGCTATTTTTCATATGTCCGCCCGCCTGCGAGGTAGATGTGGTCCTTCTCACCCTAGAGGAGAGCACTGAGATTCAGAGGAGACAACTTACTTGTCCAAGGTCGCACAGTAAGTAGAGGAGCTGGGTTTGAGCCTAGACTGCCTGTCTCCAGATTGAGTGCTTCGCTTTCCAGACCATGTTGCCAGAGGGTCCCACCGGTTCAGCAAGACAGAATAGTTGGGAAAGTGAGCTGTGGGCTTGTCCAGGTTCTCAGCTCAGGCTGGGAAGAGCGTCACACGGTCCATTGATGAGACAGAATTTACATCCAGCTGAGGTTACGTCCAGGAAAGATGACAGCATCTGTGTTGTTTTTAAGAGGGGGGTGGATAAGGACATAAGCAGAGATTAAGTAATGTGCTTGGACCCGAGAAAATTAAGAGAAACAGAACAAGGAATGAGATGGGAAATGAGTTAAGTGGTTTAGGGGCAAAGCAGGCAAACATGGAGTAAACCAAATAATCTTTTCAGGGGGCCCCTGAGGTGCTGTTGAGGTTGGGTTGAAAATGTCTTGAAAACTGCTTGAAATGCCTGGCTGGGCTGGACAGTTGTCTGTAAAGCTGGAATGTTCATTAGTCTCCCCACCTAGCACCATCTGTTAGTTCAAGTAGCCGTCCACTGCAGATGTGTATTGAGTTCCTATATACATGAGGCGCTCTTGATGTTGGCCGACATTGCTTGCATAGACACATTCTATGCCGCAGCCTTGGGGGTGTGCATACCCAGGCGTAGTTGTATCTCCGGTAGGGAAGGTTGCCTCTGTGGAGTCATGGGCTGTCAGAGTCCAAAGAGATCTGGAAGCTGATCTAGTCCCTGGCCTGTCAAAGGGCAGTCTATGGCTGAGCGGCAGGCCATCCCCTTGGAGCTTGTTAGAAATGCACAATCAGAGGGCGCCTGGGTGACTCGGTCGGTTAAGTATCTGTCTTCGGCTCTGGGGTCCCGGGGTCAGTCCCTGCATCGGGCTCCCTGCTCAGCAGAGAGTCTGCTTCTGCCTCTGCCCCTCACCCCACTTGTGCTATCTCTCTCGCGCTCATTCTTTCAAATAAGTAAATAAAATATTAAAAAAGAAAGAAAGAAATGAACCATCTCAGGCCCCATCCCAGACCCATGGAATCAGAGGGCAGGTCAACCAGATCCCCAGGTCATTCCCGTGCATATTAAAGTTTGAGAGCACAAATCTATTTGTTCCAAGCTTCTGCCTGAATCCTTCACTGTAGCCTTTTCCCCTGAGGCATCTGTCCACATCAGGCCTTCACAGAGCTTGAGCAAGAAAACTGAGCAGCTTAGTTGGTTTCCAGCCTCTTGGCAGCTTTTTCCTTATGATCTCTGGCCTCAGCCCGTGCTGAGGCATTGAGCTTTCCATGGTTTCATTTAAGCCTATTTTTGTGATTAAACCTAAATTCCAGAACCAAAGCACCTTGACCATATTCCGTTAGAAAAATTAAAAAAGAACTGCACTGAACAGAAGCCTTCTGTCTGAGGAGGGAGGGAGGAGCAGTGTGCACAGGGTGATGGTTGGGGACGGGGGCTGTCGACGACACTCAGCAAGCAGGTGGGAAGGTTGGAGCTGCCCGTGACTGGCTTCTGCGCACAGATGGTGGAGAGGTGGCTTCCGTCACTCTCTGGGGTGGCTCTTCTCTCACTGGGGGTGCTCTGGGTAAACCGTTGTTCAGGTGTAATGTAGCAAGAGTTACAAGTGCCTGGAAAATGAATTTAGATCAAGTAGAAGAGAGACCGCTGACCAAGTGAGAGGTTTGTGTCACAGGTTCCCCACCTTGGCCTCTTGGAGGTGGATGGGAAGCCTTGTGACCAGCCTCCCGAGTGTCCGTGGGCAGGTTGTTTAACCTCAGTGGAAAGTGGTGGGGAAGTGGGGCTCCACGGGTGCCTGAAAGGTCAAGCTGTCCCTTGAGCCTCACTGGGTTCTTGGCCGGGGGCTGCACATGGCATCGGTGGAGAGAGAAGGCCAGTAGAAAGGCCCAAGTGCCCTGCATACAGTCAGAACTCCCTCCTCTCCGTGGAGGGTCCTCAGAACCAGCCAGGCGGAGAGCCATGCTCCTGTAGGGACCCCTGCCACGTCTGTCCCTCTCCTCCTGAGGTGAAGTGGGCAGAGTGGCCAGGAGGTGTGCCGGGGAAAGGAGCCGAGTGACGCATAACAGGACACTTACACCCTGTGGTCTGGGCTCTCCTGTGACCCCACAGGTTCGGTTTTCCGGGATGAGTTTGACCTGGCCATTCTCCAGCTGCAGGAGAACAACCGCCTAGAAATTCTCAAGCGCAAATGGTGGGAAGGTGGCAAGTGCCCCAAGGAGGAAGATCACAGAGCCAAAGGTAAGGGGGTTCAGGGGCGTCCCCCGCCTGCTCTAGAGGACAGCAACTTGTTTCTGGTGTCCAGAGTCCAGATGATGATCGCTAGAACACACCGAGAGCAAGCCTTGGAAGGAACTTAGGGCCGGGTGGGGCTGGGCTGAGGGCTGGGCTGAGGAGGCTCCCCCAGAGAGGCCATCCCTCCCCTCACCCGTCTCTCCCATCACCTGAGCTCTGCTTTGGTTTTGTCAGGCCTCATCACTCCCCGATACTATATGTTCTATTCATTTATTTGTCTACTTTCCATTTCTTCTGCCAGAATATGTTTCATGAGGGCAGGACTTACCTTCTTCACAGGACTATCCACAGGTCCTGGCATATGGATATTTTATGGAATGAATGAATGAGTGAGTGAATGAATGAAGTTTAAATCACGCTGGATAGAAAGCAGTCACCAACTGATAATGTGTGGTTGTGGAGTGTCCAGGGTCCCTGAGCACCCAGGATTTTTTGTAGGGGGTTTGCCCAGGATAGTCCCGGGCTACATCTGTTGTCGATCAGTTAATGCCTATTAGTTATTTTTAGAACCCTCTTTAAGTCTCATAATGTCCTGGTTTGGACAGTAAATCATATGATCACCCTAGTCATCTATTGCAGCCTTGCTAAAACACTTAACAAATTTACCTATACATGCTATCCCCTAGGAAGGCAGCTGAGGAGTGAAATGAATAATACCATGTGCTTCCCTCTCTGCTCAGCATGAATGATTATCCGTGATGAGACAGTGAATGAGTGACTTTGTGTTTCCGAGGGTTTCTCTGTGGGTCTCTGTCCTGCAAGGAGAGGTCTTGGAAATATCGACCTGTGGGTAATTTAGTGGCCCTTTGTAACTTAGAGGAAATGCTGCCCCTTCCCACACAGGAACCCATGGAGGCCACACATGTCTTGGCTCTCCACTCCCCAAAGATCAAGTGTGGAGGAGACTAACTCTATTCAGGAAAAAAAAAAAAAAAGAAAGAAAGAAATGAGGGTATCAGAAAACTTTTGTGGATTTGGTAGAATGAAGTAGATGTTGAAGATGCTCAGGACCTGAGCAGGTAGGGAGGGTCGGAGTGGGTATTGCAGGCAATGAGCCCCTTGAGGAAGATGCGGCAGAAATTCGTGCTGTGGGCCGGGGCTCTGTGTGGTGCAGGTGGAGCAGAGTGAGGTTCCCGTGGGGAGAGTTGAGCTGTACAGAGGGTTTGTACTGGGAAGGTGTGGGGAGTGAAATGCTCCTGCACCACCCTCTCCCCACAAAAAGACACATGGCTTGAAAACAATCTAAATCTGACTGGGCCTGGACTAGTCAAAATAAAATGAGATTATTGATAAGGTAACATAGGCTAATGTCGTTCTGTGATAACAATGAACTTCAGAGCAGTGGGAAAGCACACCATCTTACCAAGCAGGTGGAGGGAACCAGTGATGGGTTTTGATCTGGAGTAATCTGAAGTAGAAACAGAGAGGCAGATCTGGGCCCCAGAGCAAAAGGCCCTTGAGTCCTTCCCCTGACCGATGAGCAAAAAAGGAGAAATGTCCAGGTATCTCCCTTCCTAGAAGCCCTTGGTCCCCCTCCACCCCCACCCCACCCCCAGTGGGTTGGGTGCTTTCTGTGACTTTGGACAGAGCACTCAACACACTACATTGCAGCTCATGGTCTCCTCTGCTTGGCAGATGGCACCGTAGCCGTGGACCCAGTCTCGTTTGTTTCTATGTCCCTAGCCTCCCCTACAGAGCCTGGCACATAGTAGGGATCCAGTAAATATTTGTGGGATGTGTGACTAGAGCTACTGGCTGGTAGTTGTCAAAAGCTACCAATGGCAGTGTTCTCCTGGGTCACATTAGCAAAGGGACCAATGAAACTGATTCGGTGACCTTCCTGCGCAACCTTCACCCCGAGCTCTCCACTCAGTCAAGTCGTTCCTGCCTCTGAGCAGCTGACCCAATGGATGTGGTGACACAGAAACACTATCGATAAGGGAGGCTGGAACACAGAGGGAGGGGGCCAGGAGCCAGGGCCCAGAGCAGTGCAGGGACCCCCACAGACTCCTGCATTGTCACCCCCACCCCAGCTGGCAGCCAGCTCTGCCAGCTCCAGATCTTCCTCCCCTCCTGTTCCCACTGGCTATGGGTTTCCCCAGCTTTCCCTGCCTTCGTCAACTGGATGCCTGTTTGATCTCTTGGAGCACATTTCCCCTTGAGGCTCACTGCTGAGTTGCTCCCATGTCTCCAGTTTCCCCCTTTCATCCCTGACCCCAAAAACCGGCCACAGGTCCTTCTCTTTTGTGCATGTATGTCTTTGCTTCTGTTTATTTATGCATCCTGCTAATCCTAGAGAGAAAAGTTGGAGGGCAGCAGAATTGGCAAACACGATGATCTGGGTGCCTTACCGTGGTCACTCATGGCCCCCCATCTGGATCCTCTCTCTCCTACTCCGGATGTCACCCGAAGTCCAGTGGACTTCCCCCAACCCTCCTCCCACCCTCCAAGAAGGGAGTTCATCAGACTTTTACTCTCCTGCCTACCTGTTTGTTCTTCCATCAGCCACTAGGATAGCACTCTTCCCTCAGACAGTTTCAGTAGGGTTCAGGGTCATGGGCCTTAGTGCAAATGGACCCCACCCCATAAAAGGCCTTGTTGTAGACACTAAAAAACATCTTTGAGCCTCGGTTTCCTTCTCTAAGAAATAGAGATGATGATTAATAATTATGTCAGCTCCCAGGGCTATTGTGAAGATCACATGACATAAATCATGTTAAATAAACCCTCTGCAAAAGTGCCTGGCACAAAGGAAGTGAGAACTAATTTTATTCCCAAATCTAGGCTTCGAGGAGCAATTAAGGCACAGTAAGAGGTTTGAACAGTGTCTACAGCCACAAGTATGCTCACTCATCACATGCTACTTAAGGCTAGATAGCTCTTCTAAAATCCACACTGATGACATCTATTTTGCATCTGTTGACATTTGTCCCCCACGGACTATAAAAAACTCAAATGCGGGGACTGTGTCTTATTTATTTTTGTATCTTGATGACTAGCATTATCATCTGACATCAGTGTCTGATATAAGGATGAACAGTGAATGAAAGAATGAATGAATGAATGAATGAATGAATGGAGTGGGCAGTCATCTCAAGGACCTCCAGACTGGTACCACTTCCTATGTCTGTTGCCTCCCAAACAGGAACTCTGACACCCCAGCTGGTGGCATAAAAAGTATTCACATAGCCCCGTTGCATCCAGTGTACACTGTAAACCAGTGCATATCAGGCACTGTGCTAGGCTCTGACATTATGAAAAGGACTAAGACATGGCCCCGTCCTCAAGAGGTTTAGAACCTAGAGAGAGGCACAAATCATCACTAATAATGCTTGCACTGTAGGAATGCTTTACGAGAACCATAAAGAAAGTGTTTATGAAGGCCAGGGGAGGAAGTGATTAATACTGAGCAGTGGTCAGGGAAGACTTTAGGGACATTTGGCCTGAACCTTGAAGCATCTATCAGGAGTCACTGCTTTAGGAATGTTGTAGAGCAAAGCAGCTGCATTCAGAAATTGGTTTGAATAAGTAGGATGAGGTTGGAGTTGAGAGCCTTGAAAACTAGGAGGAGGCATTTGGACTGCAAACCAGCATATTCTAAGCTTTTCCATGGAAGGAATTAATAGCAGCCGACACTAAGCCTATACTCTTGGGGGTCAGGGAACATCGTCTAAAACAGCCCACCATGCTTGGAACATCCTTGGTCTTTTTTTTTATCCTAAAAACACATGAATTTTGCAACTTATGACATAACATAGGCATGTTTATTTAATGTAAAAATGCTTTTTCCACCTCAGCTCCAAGTAAAATTAGTGTCCCAGGGAGATGCTCCATAAATATCCCAGAGCATTGCCTATGTCTTGGCACCCTGGACTGAGTTGGAGAGTGTTGGCTCCAGACTTCAGAGGTGCTGGGCTGACATGGGGCATGATGAAAGCAGGTGCTGGGATGGAATTCTGAGCTGTCACTGGCATTCATGGTCTCAGGGGACAGTCCTTGCCTCGGGAGGAACACAGAATCAAATTATTGACTTTAAGTTCCAACAGTTCTTACAACTCAGCAGAGACAGTGTTGTTAGCAGTCAAGGTTTTTGATTTGCCAGAAGAGTGTTTTGCAATACAGAAGGCTAATACCTAAAGGAAGCTTGGCATGAAGCTGGCATTAGAAGTTAGAGAGTAGAAAAATAAGAGAAGACCCAGGCCACCCAGTCTGCAAACCAGATTAAAAAATGAAAAATAAAAAAAATAACACCCTGGCCAGGACAGGGAGCTTCTGAGCAGGAAAGGGGTATATTAAAATGTGGAGGGTCCCTGAGAAGGAGCTTTGTGCCCTGCTGGGACACAAGACAGTAGCAGATAAGAACTCCTAGATAAGTTGGGAATTCTAAGAGGTAAAGAGATTTTTGCTTGCTTCTGGAGTTTGGGAAGCCCCGGAAAAATGTGTCATGCTACAGTGTAGAAGGGGCATGAGAGATGGGACATGGGGACCCAGGGCAGGGAGGCCCCAGTGGCAGGCCTGCATTTTCCTAGACCCCACAGATGGTGGAAATCTAAGTGGAATCCCGCATTAAGACCAGATCCCTGACCCACCCCCATGACACAGAATCTCCTTCCTATCCTCGGACCTGAAATACATCCAGAGGTGAAGCAGGAACAGAGAAAACACTGCATTTAGCTAAATTTAAACCCCAAATGACTGAGAAATCTCTACATTTTTGGCAATCGGGTGGAAATGGGTAATTTTTAGAAAACTTAAGTTAGAATTTTTGCCAAGTGATTGGCTTTGGAAACCCTTCCTCAGTCCACAGAGGCTGAGGAAGACTGATCTGACGGCAGAGCCCAGGAGGGGTGGAGGGAGGAGGTACACAGGGAGATCGGGCTCCCAGGGAAGATGGGGAGGTCGTACAGGAGGCTCCACTCTGCACTTGGGGACCAAATGTTTCCTAC